GGGTGTAACTGGCAAAAAAGGGGGGGGATTGGGCAAGTTCCTAATGTCGGAACTTGTTTGGCACAAGTCATGTCCTGTTCTGGGCATAAAAGCCCCAGTCGCACGGTGGCCTCTCCCCCCGCGGGCTCCCCGTACCTTGGGGGGTCGGGATGGGGGCAAACATTCTGGCAACTTGCTGCACACACAGTCTCTCGATTACTGGCCACCAGTTAAAGGTCTGGCGTCTCTTGCCCGTTATCTATGTGTTAGAGTTTCGGCATCTCTTGCCCGTTACACATGCATTACAAGATCCGGCGTTTCTTGCCTGTTACTTTGCGTCGTTAAACCCGGCGTCTCTTGCTCATGACGCTATGGAGAAGTTCTCCGTTATAGTGGTGCTACGTTGTTAGCACTGTGTACTTTGCTAATAGCTACATGTATTATTGTTGCCTTTACTTGTGTATCATTCAAGGTGTTTCTGGGGCCCCATAGCAATTCCTGTAAATCCAGAACATTTGTATTTATTGTTTCAAGTTGCGGCTGGAATAAACGCTCGGCGAAGAAGGCTGAAGCATACCCAAAATCTGTGTTCCCGTGTCCTCTCAACTTCTCTGGGCCAATGAACAATTACAATACAATACAATAAGCATCACATCAATGACAGGAGAGGATTGGGAGCCATTAACAAATGCAAGAAATAACCATTTATACAAACAGACTTACAGAAACTTACAACGAAACCCGGTTCAAGGATAGTAAACTTAACTACTTTTACCTGCAGACTTTCCTGTACATATTTTTAAAAAGGACATACAAACATAGTGAAAACTAATTAAACAAAATGCTACCCATGTTGGCCACCATGCACGAGTCAAGTTGTGATGGCATAGACTGGAAAATTAAAGAAAGCCTGCTTACGATCTCTCAGAAAAAAGAGGGAGTGGGTTAGTGAAAGGAGTGTCCTTCACGTGGGAGGGTAAAACAATCCAAAGTCTGGGAAATCTGAGGGAACGAGAGTGAAAAAAAAAAGATGATTTGATGTTTGTCATCTACATGTAACTGGTTGGCTTTCGGTGTTGGTGACCCGTCGGCCAGGGATGGATCTTGGGTTTTGCATCTTGGTCTGGCTTGACTTGTATCTCTTCTGATGTGATGGAGTTCTTAGGTGAGGTGTTCCTTGTCGCAGATATTGTATGCCCTAAGGACAAAGGACCGGTTGATGGCAGTCTTGATCTTGGGGCAATGGAAGGAAGCACTACTGAGATATCTATATGTATGTGTGGGTTTTCGGTAGACACACCAGGTAAGACTTTTGTCCTGCTTTCTAGACACACCAGGTAAGACTTTTGTCCTGCTTTCTAGACACCTCAATGTCAAGAAACAAGATGGCGTCATCTCTTTCTTGTTCCATGGTGAACTGATTGCTGCTGTAAAGTCCGTCAAGGTATTCCAGGAAGATTTGGAGGTTGTCCTGCCCATGCTGCCAGATGACAAAGGTATTGTCCACATACCAGAGCCAAATCTTGGATCTGTGGTCTGCTGTGGCAATGGCGTTCTGCTTGAATTCTTCCATGGATATGTTGGTCAGAACTGGGGATATAGGAGATCGCATGGAGGTTCCCGCTGATTGTTCATATACATTATCCTGCCAGTGGAAGCCAGATGAGTTGATGCAAGTGAGGAGCAGCTCATGAGGCCAGTCCGGAGTGACATCGGTGCGGTCCTTGATGGGGGGGGGTCTGCTTGAAGTCTGTCCTTGGTGATGGTAGTGGCATCGGAGGTGGGGACACTGGTGAAGAGGGAGCTGACATCAAAGCTGACGATGATGCCCTCTGGCTGGAGAGTGAGGCCTTGGATGAAGTTGGCAAACTGGTCGGAGTTCTTGATGTGTTTGATATTGTTCACCAAGGGATTAAATATCTTGGCGAGATGCCTGACCATGTCTTAGATTTGACCTCCTCTTAAAGCAGCGACTGGACATAGTGGAGTATTGTTCTTGTGGATCTTGGGTTGACTAAAGAACCTAGGGCACTTGGAGTTGGACTGCCAAAGATGTCTGTACAACAGTGTTGTATTTAAGTTTAATCACAAGTCCCTGCAAGTCCATCACAAGTCATTCAGTCTTCAGCCAATTCACAAGCTATTCAAATAAGCCGTGACAAAGCATTCTTTTGTTATTGTCCATCCTGTAACTTTTGACTGGCCTTGTGAAGGGACTAGTGACTGGAC